GATGACGACGACGATGATGATCATGATGCTGCTGATGATGATGATGGTGATGGTGATGATGATGATGATGATGATGATGATGATGGTGATGATGATATTGTATTCTACTATACTATACTATATTATATTAGTATATTATTCGATATATTATGTTATGTTATGATGTGGTATGGTATGATTCTGATATGGTATGATATGATGTGATATGGTTGATATGGTATGATATGATATGATATGTGAGCGCCATACTCCAACGAAGGCATCCACATGTGCCGGGCCGAGGCAAAGTTTTTAGGTCTTCTGCAATAAGACGCTGGTATGCTAAGATGTGTATGTACGCAATGCGTGAAACGTTGGAATCTGCAAATGAGTCGGTTTCATGCTATTTGCTGTGAAGAGCAGTCCTAGCGTCAACGTCAAAACAGATTTACATCATGCGTTCAATTGTAGCATTGCGAGCATTGCATATTGCTACCAATCATCGTGGACGCTGGGGATGTTGAGGGATTTGGAAGGCTGCTCCCCGAAAGGAAAGCCCCCATGTGCACTTCCACGACTGGAACGAATGTAGGACCAAACCGCAAGGGTTGGTTTTTATGCCGTCGCTGCGATCGTCCGGACATTTTCTGCGTTGAGGGTGGAGCCCTGCGACGGGGACGGGCTGCCCTACAAGCTCTCCGGTTGCCTCCCGGAGGCCCGGGGCGGCAGAACTTTTGCCAGCTTTCCACTTTTCACCTGACAGAATGGGCCCAAATGTTGGCTGAATGGTCTTACAACAAGGCCCAAAAACTTGTGAAGACACCAACAAGCAGGCCAAAGCCATTCTGGGGGTCCCCTAAAAACACATTAGCAAAAACAAATCTAAGATGTCTGCTCCAATTCCCAGGGGTCTCTGAATGAGTTGGGCATTGAGAGATCCCTTCACCTCCATTGCCGTCAAGAATGGCCAACGGCCCAGGCTTTAAGCTGCAGCACTAAGCCTTAGGTCTCGTATTTGTTTTTTTCAAATTATTGGCAAGATGATTGGAATTGATCTAAAAATTCATCATTGAGGTTTAAAGTAGAGCTTCTGCCAACCTCCGAACAATGAGCAAACCATGAAGATTGGCCAGGTCCCCCAGCTAGGTGTCCTTTTACCGTTTCTGTTGTTGGGGAGGGTTCCCCCACCTCACATAGACTACAAAAAAAAGCGGTACCCTTATTCTCTACTGGAGGACCTAGTTGGTAGTGTGTGTGCGCCTTCTTCCGTATTTTCCCCAGTCTTTTTCCCATCGCACGGACCCAACGGCCTGAAGATGGAGAAGCCCGTCAGTTCTGCAAGTTCCCCAACCTGGTGGACTGATGGTGTTCAAACACACGCCCCCACACCCCCGCTCCCCCCGTCGTTGGACTGGACTTCTCCATGTCAGAGAGGGGGCTCAAGGCGCTGGTTTGTGTTGAAACAGGGAAAGGCGGTAGTCATTGACTGAATTGGTGTTTGTGTTCCCAGTTCAACCAGCTCCCATTTGCCCTCAGAGATCAAGGTTGTCCGAATGCAAGCAAGACGTACATGCATTTCCAGGTTCTCTCTCTCGTGCCATATGGCTGTGGGTCAAAAGTGGGTACCCAAAATGGCTTGCCCTGGTGAATGGAACCCATGACTAAAACAGGCGGTCCAATTCCTGGTGGTTTCATTTTGACCCACACCCATATGGCCATGGTTCAAAACCAATGGTACCATTTTGGGATAGGTGCACCGCCCCTTTTACACTATTTTAGTGGAGATTGGGATGTTCACTGAGGGTACGATTTGGATTTTGACCTATGGCCATATTTGTGCACAGCGAGTTTCCGTTCCAATGCACAACCCTTGCAGGCGCGGGTCTGTTGCCTCTGAGCGAGCTAAGCTCCAACCCGCAATACTTCCATTTGGTTAAGAATATGTTGTTATTAATATTATTATTATTATGTTTATTATTATTCTTCTTATTGTTATTGTTATTATTATGTTTCTTATTATTATTATTATTGTTATTATTATTATTACTATTATGTTTTATTTATTTATTATTATTATTATGATTATTATTATTCTTATTATTATTATTGTTATTATTATTATTACTATTATGTTTTATTTATTATTATTATTATTATTAGTAGTAGTAGTAGTATTAGTATTAGTATTAGTATTAGTATTACTATTATTATTGTTATTATTATTGTTATTATTATTATGTTATTTTCCACTGTTGAGTTTAAATGGAACCTATCACTACTGGATTTGTTTCTTTGCGGTGGACCTAAAGCAAATGGAGGAAGAACACGAACTTGACGAAGGCAATGAAACTTTGGTGCAGTTTGCTTGGATGTTAGGACTTTAACTTTTTGCCAACTAATGGGTTTTCCACTAAACCACTAAAAGTTTTTCACTTTTAGCAGGGGAGCAGAAAGCAACGGAGAAAAGGTGCTGTGACAGCTGGGCCGGAGACCAAGCCAACCGTTTTGGAGGTGGCACTCGCGCCTCGCACATGTGAACCGAGACTCCTGGACGGTGGATCGTCAGCTTGAGCTCGCCCGAGCACATGCTCTGTCCAGATTTGGCGGACAGCTCGAGAGCTTCTAAATTATGTGGTTTCGCACGCGTTGCTTGCCTGATTGCTTGCTTGCTTGCTTGCTTGCTTGCTTGCTTGCTTGCTTGCTTGCTTGCTTGCTTGCTTGCTTGCTTGCTTGCTTGCTTGCTTGCTTGCTTGCTTGCTTGCTTGCTTGCTTGCTTGCTTGCTTGCTTGCTTGCTTGCTTGCTTGCTTGCTTGCTTGCTTGCTTGCTTGCTTGCTTGCTTGCTTGCTTGCTTGCTTGCTTGCTTGCTTCTTTTTTTGCTTGCCTGCTTTGCTTTGCTTTGGTTCCTTGATTGGTTGGTTGAGATTGGGTTGGGTTGGGTTGTGTTGGGCTGGTTGGTTGGTTGGCGTTGGTTTGTTTGCGTTGGTTGGTTGGTTGGTTGGTTGGTCTTGGCTTGGTTGCGCTTGGTTGGTTGGTGGGTTTGCCTGCCTGCCTGCCTGCCTGCCTGCCTGCCTGCCTGCCTGCCTGCCTGCCTGCCTGCCTGCCTGCCTGCCTGCCTGCCTGCCTGCCTGCCTGCTGCCTGCCTGCCTGCCTGCCTGCCTGCCTGCCTGCCTGCCTGCCTGCCTGCCTGCCTGCCTGCCTGCCTGCCTGCCTGCCTGCCTGCCTGCCTGCCTGCCTGCCTGCCTTTGTTGTTTGTTTGTTCGGCTTGGCCTGGCTTGGCTTGTTTTGCCATCTGGTTGGTTTGTTTGGTCATGTGTCGTTCATTGAGCATTTCCCGCGTGCTTCCTCATTGCACACCCCTCGCGATTTTGTCGCCAGGTTTGCGCCAAGCCCACGGGTGACGATTTGTACAAGTTCGCGCTGGCAGACGTGAACTTGGAGAGGCGCGGAGGGACATTCAAAGGCTTTCCCAAATGGGTGTTTCTTAACATAATGGTCCCCTAAAGAAAAGTCCAGTTTTTTTGTTTAGAGTGGTCCCCTTTAAAAAAAAAAAAAACAGTGTGTTTCTTAAGTGGTCCCGGAGAAACAACAGTTGGTTGCTCGTATGGCATCCCTTTAGCTACACAAAGGCACCATTTTGAGGGAAAAATGATAACAACCATATTATGGGTTTGTGGGTATAGTGCGAAAGCAGGACCCGCAAGAAACTGGGGCCGGGACCACGGGTACCGGTTCATCTCCCTCAATTTTGTGGGTGTGGTACGGTCACTGGGCATGTGGCGCTGGGTTCAGGCTCCAGTTTTCCGTTGCCTCTTGTCCACCCAGATTCTCTTTGACTGAAGAAGCTGGGATGGAAGGGAACGTTCTTACAAAAACAAGTTGCTGGAGGTCTGGGAGGCCTGGGCTCCTGTCATGTCACCTTGGCACGCCCGGCCAAGGTCCTTGGTAAAGTCTGTTTCGGGGGCGAAGAGAGGACGGAATTCTGACACCTTCCTTTTCAAGGGATCAAAGGCTGAGCCTCAAGTGCAAGCTCTCCAGTCAGTTTCAGAACCAACAACCAGAGGGTTTTTGGCTTCCGTCTTAGCTTTGTCTTTCATCATACATAGCCTGATGTTGAGAATCTCTCAGGGCCCAATTCGGAGCTATGGCATGTGGTTCCTTGCGCGGCCAGGGCATTTGGGCGTTTGAGGGTTCCCTTTATGGTTCCCTGGGCTTGGTTTAAAGGGAAACCCAAAAATGAAACCGCCATCACTTTTTCTTCATGTTTCTTTGTTCTTTGGGGGGGGGACGGATCAAACTCTAGATCAAGCACTGTAGCCTCCTTTGCCAATGGGATTTGGAGAACAACCCCTTGCTGGCTTCACAGGCGCTCCTTCACGGTGGACGGGCGGTGCAAGTACGGCTTCGCGGGCACGGCCCGAGATCCAAGCAAATTTCTCGGGCGCGGCAGGGCGCTTCTGGGGGACTGGCCTGAGGAGCGCAGAACTTGGGGAATGCCAAGTTGAGTGGCAAAGCCCCTCGAAAAGCAGTCCGATTCCCCAGATTTCAAAAATGGGGTTGATTAATCTGGATCAACATGAGTCTCATATCTTGACTGCTGGGTAACCGATCTTTAGACTTTAACTTTTTCGTTGAAATCAAGTTGGGCTTTCCGAACTAAACCCACAAAAAGTGATTCCCTTTTTGCAGAGGGGTCAACAGCAACCAAGTGAGTAGCCCCCAACTTTTGGAAGAATCCCAAGTTGAGTAGCAAAGCCATAGGATAGGTGTCCTTTTTGGTTGATTTGGTTTAAAAATAACGGGCCCTGGTTTACCTGGCGCTTCAACCAACTACCGGCAAAAAGGACACCTATAAACAAAGCCCTGCACTTGCACTGGCCATTGTGCGTTGTCAGATGGAATCTGGACTTCCGTCGAAAAAGAGCCTAAAACATTACACAGTTCTTAGAGAATGACCATGACTTGATTTGGCTATAGGTCAAAACCCCGTGCCCCCAGTGAATATCCCAATCCCCACTAAAATAGACTGAGATGGTGGAGCACCTAGCCCAAAATGGTGCCATTGGTGTTGACCCACGGCCATTTGGCTTTGAAGCACCCCGGATAGTGCGCCGGTCTCTGAGTTGACAAACAGGATTGGGCAACCCCACAGAACTCCTGGGTCAGTGACCCGACAAAACCCCAACTGGGTCCCCCAGTAGTGCCCTTGGGGAGGGTTCCCCTACTAAAATAGACTACAGAAAAAAGGTACCCTTATTCTAACCTCTCTACTGGAGGACCTAGCCAAAGACAGGAGTTAATAAGTCTTATTCTCGGCCAAATAGGTCTTACCGGTTGGTGTGTGTGTGTGTGCTTCGGGAGGTATCTGATTTGCCCAGATGTTGCGATCCATGATCACAGATCCGAACTGGTTCGGAGCACCAATGAAGTTCGGAGGGGTCGAGAGACGGTGAAGCCTTGCTGTTTTGGAATATAAACAAATGGCTGTGGGTCAAAATGGGTACCCAAAATAGAGCCCTGGTAAATAGAACCAAAGACTAGAATGTGTGGTTTCCTGGTGGTTTAATTTTGACCCACACCCAAATATTATATATATACATATATGTATATGTATATGTATATCTTTATACCAATGACCAAGCCTTAATCAGTCAGAGCCAATCCCCGGCACAGTTGTCAGGCGCAAGGTGACCTTCAGCAAATCCAAGTGTGGCTTGACCGGTACGTCTTTTACTTGAAGATTTTGAAGGTCTTCATTTCTTCCAACTGGCGCGGCGATGTACATTCTGTATGTATAAGTAATAAGTTAAGTGAATAACATATACATTATCTCTGTCTATATATGGAGAGAGAGAGATGCTGCAAAGAGGGACATGTGCATAGGGTCGCCCACACCAACTTCCTGAACATGATGAATATGATGAATATGATGAATCATGTTGGGCGTGCGCAAGGGCCGAAGTGGCTCCCCCCACATGTTCCTCCGCCTTCCAAGAAGGGGTCCCTTGTTTCTCTTCCAGGGTCACTGGGCGCCTGCAAAAATCCGTTTCCCTTTCCAAAAAGGGTGGTTCATTTCATTCCATGTCCTTCGAGATGTCAAGGCAGAGTGTGCAGTCCAGTTCAAGCCCTCCAGTGTTCACTTTGTCGCAGGCGTTGCGATGTTCTAACGCAGGGTGGGCGATTTTTGGGGTAATTTCGGTGTCTCGCACTCAGGACTCATGGACTCGAGATGAGTCAAGGCCACGAAGAAGTTTCTCTTTGAAACCATCCAAAAGGCAAACTCGAATTTGTTTGAGGTTAACCCTATATTAATAAACCCCACTTTATTGATATGGGGGTGTTCCCCTCGAAAAGTAGTCCAATTCCCCACATGTCAAAATAAACTGGGGTTGGTTAATCTGGGGTCAACATTGGTCCCTTCTTCTAGGTGTAGCTTCCATTTCCATTCTTTCCAGGGATCCTTCTAGAAAACCTGCGGAAACCCAGGGGAAACGTCTGGTTTTTGAAAAGAACGATGGTTGAAAAGAATGGAAAAGGAGTCAACCCCTAGACTGATAATCCCCTTGACCCGACCCGATCGAAGCGTGCGAATGGGAAAGGTCAGCATCGAGCTGTGCGCAGCCCACGGCGAGCCGTACAAGGTCAGTGGCTGCGTAGGCCCGTTGCCAGCATCGCTTAAAGGAGGACCCCCCCTCCAACTAACATGGCACCTGACACAGGGTCCCTTGAAGAGGAAGTTTATCTTCCAGGTACCCTCCCACAATTGCTATGTTAGTTGAAGAAGTAGTAGCTGGTCATGATCATAGGACAATTATGTGTGTAATCATGGTGTCCCTGAAACTTCCCCAGTGGGCATGCGTAATGGCTGGACCAATAAACTCGCTTAAGCCCTCTCATGTCGGAAGATGCCACATCCCAGACGTTCTCGTTGAGGGCACAATTAAGCAATGTCCTATGGCAGGCAATGGTTCATCTGTTATGCTTGCAGTGTCGCTGCAATGCAATGGGTCTGTGCTGAGATGTCCTGAGGCACAACCACTACCACCAGCACAACCACCACCACTGCCACCACAACAACGACTGTGACTGAGACAACAACTACAACATTGACCAGCACAAGCACTTCGACCACCACCATCACCACAACGACAACGGAAACTGAGACAACCACGTCAACGACGACTATCACAACTGTAACGACGACGACAGAAACCACGACCAGCACTACAACAACAACGACCACATCTACAACAACGAGCACCATTACAACTACAACCACTACTACTAGCACAACTACAGTCACTGAAACATCTACGAGTACAGTGACAGAAACGACCACCTCCACGTCAACAAGCACAATCACAAGCACCACAACAGTTGTCACCACAACAGTAAAAGTTACCAGCACCATCACCACTACCACAACAACCACATCTACGACCACCAACACCGTGGTGACCACAACCACGATCACCGAAACTGAGACCAGCACGTCGACAACTACCTTGACCGCTACCAGCACAACCACCACAACCAGCACCACCACGACCACCACTACCACCACTACAACTAGCACCACCACTGAAACGGAGACAACAACCACGACTTCAACTGTGACAACAACAACTACCTCCACTGTGACTACGACCACAGTGACTGAGACAGTTACGGGGACAACAACAACTACCTCCACCACCACTGAGACTTTAACCAGTACGACAACTACTGCTACAAGCACGACGACAATTACCACAACAACAACTACAACGACCTCAACCTCAACTACAACCACGAGCACGTCTACAACTACCATAACTACGACAACAACGACCAGCACCAGCACCATTACTACCACAACAACGACCGTAACTGGAACTACCACTATCACTAGCACTACCACCATCACATCAACAACAACAACCACGACAACCACGACAACCACGACAACGTCCACGACAACAACAACTGAAACCACAACAACCACCACGACATCAACCACTACGTCAACTAGCACCTCCACCACAACCAGCACAGTGACAACGACGTCAACGACTACCACCACCACTGAGACAGGCACATCCACCACCACCACTACCACTACCACGACTTCCACCACAACTACCACCACTGAGACAAGTACCAGTACCACAACGTTAACGGCAACATCTACCACCACAACCACCACCACCACAACATCCACCACCACGACTTCCACAACAACGACTACAAGCACATTTACTGAGACCACCACCACAACAACAACGAGCACGATCACAACTACTACCATCACTGAAACAACCACCACTACCACCACCTCAACAACTACTACCGTGACAGTGACCTCCACAACCACAACAACCGAGACAATCACTTCGACCACAATCACCAGTACAACGACCACCACCAGCACGCAGACGTCAACCACAACTACAACCACTACATCGACGAGCACCTCCACATCAACCACGACGAGCACCTCCACCAGTACGACCACGACAACAACCACCAGCACCTCGACGACCACCACCACCAGCACTGAAACGATCACCACCACAACCACAGCCACAACTACTGTCACCACAACTACCTCCACCTCAACCACTACCGCAGCTTGGCCAGGTTTTTCAGCGTGTCCATCACCCGTCAAGCACACCAAGGACTTACCATAAAGAGCTATGACCAGGACGTACACTCCATCGCTTTGCATAGCCAACATGAGCCGCACCCCCGATACCCAGTGCAGTTTGATCCTTTCCTAAGCTGGCCTGTTCAAGTCCCAGGTCCCCCAGCTAGGTGCGCTTTTACATCCTTTCTTGGGGGAGGGTTCCCCTACTAAAATAGACAACAGAAGAAAGGGTACCCGTGTTCTAACCTCTCTACTGGAGGACCTAGAGTCAACTACCAAGCGAAATGTGCCCTTATCCGGGAGTGAAGGTTGGTAAGGGACAGTCCAATCACTTGGTGCTGGAATCCGCCGTTGTTCTTTCAACGGGCACACCACTTCAATACCCCTTTGCTTCCATTCGTTTAGAATATGATGGTTAATTTCCCCGGGTTTTAAAGGGAATCTATTTCACTACTCAAAGTATGTTCTCATGTTTAATTGGAGTGGTCAGTTGCGACTCACCTGAAAATGGCAGTGGACGCGCCAAGCTCGGAGCATCTTTGCAGGATCCGCTGCAGTGTCCAGCTGTTCGAATGCTCGTCGGTGCCTCCACCTTGTAATCTAGGTCCCCCAGCTAGGTGCCAACTTGTACCGTTTCTTTTTCGGTTGGGAGGGTTCCCCTGCCAAAATAGACTACAGAAAAAAGTTGGTACCCTTATTCTAATCTCTCTACTGGAGGACCTAGTACTTGGGGCAAAAGGAAGAGGAGTCAAGTTTTTGTGAGCTGTCATAATCCACGCCCGATGCAGAAGGGCTCAAATTTAGACTGCAAGGATGTTTGAGAGGCCAGTGACCCCATACTGGTTCGAAAGGGGTTCCGATTTTTGGAAGCCCGAGGTTGGTTTTCCGGAGTCAAGGAGCTGGGTTGCAAATGCCAGGTTCTTGGCCAGTAAACTTTGTGATCGAAGGTATCCAACGAAGTCTCCCAAAACCTGGTGGCTCCCGGCCATCCGGTTCCTTAGCCTTTTGGCTTTCTAGTGTTTATATGGTAGTTTCCATTTCGCCCACTAAAAGGTTAAGCTTTTAGCAGGGGATCAGAAACCGGGCCCAGAAAAGTTTGGTCCATCCGATCCTGTCGCTTCTAGGTGACCAGTGCCGACTGCTGGCCGCCATCAGATGTGACTGGCTATGAGCTGACAGAGACGTCGATGCACATCGACAACTTCGATGCCACTCGGAACCACGTTTTTAGTGGCGTTGCCTTCGGGTTCTGAAAACTTGGGCAGGCAATAAACTGTAACCAACTTTTGGGGAATACTGCTCTAAGCTTAGCTCAAGGAACAAGTTGAACGTCTTGGTTTGGGGGGCTCCTAGTTTGGGCGAGCAAAGTATCCGGCAAGTCGTGGGGATCCAGTGCTTCAGGTGTTTGAATTATTGCTTCACTGTTCTTGGCTTTTTTTTCTGTTTGGTTCTGTTCATTTTTAGTAGTGGGCTGCAAAAGAGAAAGTGTTTGGCTATCATTGTAGGGGTTGATTCCCCATTTGTTTCAACCATCGTTCTTTTCAAAAACCAGCCGCTTCCCCTTGTATTTTGATGGTTTCCTGAAGAAAAGGATCCCTGGAAAGAATGGCAATGGAAGGTACCCCTAGAACCATACCGTTTGGGTCGTGAAGATTGTGAACCTTCCGAACTGGCCGGGGCTAGTCCCCTTATGATTGCAATCTATGGCCTGAGTATCTGATTGGAGCCCATTTGTTGCACCTCAGTGGGCTCAGTCAACTAGGTGGCTTGATGTCCTACTGTCCCGCAAACATCCACCCTTCAGATTCTTTATTTGGTTTGGGCTAGGTGTTCCTCCAAATAAGATTTGGTCCCCCAAGTGGTCGAAACTGGTTCCCCCAGATAAAAAGTTGTGTCTTAAGAAGCTCAACCAGACCCCTCCAACTGACAGCCGGAACCTGATTGAAAGGAAGCTGGTCCAAGACCGATTCGCGTTCGAACGTCGAAGGCTTCCAGGTCTAAATGGGGAGTGTAGTCGTAATGAACATGGAACCCATATTGAAAGCATGGGGAGTCTTTGAACAATTGAACACATGCATGGGAGTCTTAGACATGGGAGTGATTGAAAGCATTTTGAACCCATGGACAAAGGGAAACCAATGAAGATGTGTTTTTTCTTTCCTAGGTGTTTCGAGCAGTGCCTTTCTCACCCTTTTTCTGGGAGAGGGTTCCTCCACTAAACAGACTATCGAAAGGAAAGACAGAAAGTGGGTACCAACTTATTCTAACCTCTCAACTCTGGACCTAGTCACCCGCTTTTTGGGGCGGATCTCGCCGAGGGGAACCGGTGTTTTTCATGCAGTGTCTTGGACGCCTTTTTCCTTGAGCTTCCCTCCGCTTTTTCGGGCGGATCTCGAGGTGAAACTTTTGGAGGGCCTATTCCGTTTTTGGGCGGATCTCGGTTTTCTGCAGTGTCTTGGACCCTTGGCCATAGGTGTCCTTTTTGGTTGTGTTAGTGGAAACATAGATGGCCCTGGTTTACCTGGTGGTTTAACTACCAGGGCCACTATTTGCCCTAAAAGGACACCTATGCCCTTGGCTTTTCCCTTGGGGTTCCTTCGTTTTTCGGGGCCGATCCCGAGGTGAAAGCTAGCTGCAAGCCCGGGTACCTGGGCGCTGCGAAGGTCCAGCCCTGCAGCGCGCCGGGCGAGGCCTTCAAGCTCAGCGGCTGCGACTGGGGCGCCTTGGGCCGATTTGTTTCCTGCGATTCCAGGGGGGGAAGTGCCTCAAGAGGGCGACCCCCATGGGAAGCCAGGGGAAGCCCCACATTTGCCAGGTGGGGTGCTTTTCTAGGAAAAGACAACTTTTTTTGGGGGGGAAGGGTTCCAATTCCTCTAATCTCAAGCCTTTCCAAAAAAAGGATGGCCTTTTTTCCCATGGCCACTTGGGCATCTGAGTATTCCCTCGGGGAAGACTAGAAAACTCGCTTTCCCGAGTTCCGTTTCGGACTTTCGTCACTCTTGGGAGCTTGCACCATTTCGGTAAAAAAAACAGTTTGGTGACTTTTTCTGGCGAAGCCACTGAGAAAGTGAGGCAACAGGTCCGATGTACAGGGGGTGACCAATTAGAGAAGCGAAAAAGAAAGATACGACTTTCACCGCTAAATGTGAATAGTTACCCATGATCATTGTGGGGCCAGGAATATGCATCAACCCCCTTGTGTGTTGTGCTTGTCTCCCCCTTACCAATGCAAGGGGGGGGGGGGCTTGCCCATTGCCCTCGCCCTCTCTGTGATTGTTTTCCTTGGAACAAGTGAGCAACTGAGAAGATTTGTCTTGGTTTGGGCGGAACATGGGGGATCAATTTTCCCAGTAAACACCATGGGTTTGCACTGAAAACAGGGTCCAAAGCAGGTTCCATTTATTCTTGTACCAGAGTCACTGGGAAGCTGGGTTCAATTGCAGGGAACAAATAAATTCATTTCGATGTTTCCTCAACTACATTGGTTTCCCTGTGACTTCCCTTCCAAACCAACCAGCAGGGCACTAGACTTTCTCAAAACACAATCCATTTAGCTTTTGTTTGAAACAGGTCGCATTGTTCATTCAACCCACAACAAGTGTTTTCACTTTTTGCAGAGGAGTCAACAGGAAAAAAAATCAGCTACTGTGAGGCGAGTTGCCATAAGCAGCAAACTCTATTTAGGTCTGCAAGCATCCTGGGGCAAAAATCGTGTTTGGGGAAGCGAACCGAGCAATAAGCGGTCCGTCAAGAGTGTCCACAATGGGCGCGCCAAAGCATCCAAAAGCAGCAGCCTGAACGGCAAACGTGTCAAGCAAAAACATGTTCTTTGGGAGGAAATGAACAGTGAACATATGGGTGATCATCTAATGAAAATGCGATCTCGCGCGGCGAGGGAACATGTTGGCACGTGAGCAGTGTTCAAAACGCCTTTACATGAGTTTGCCAGACATGCATCCCTCTATCGGAGGTCCAGACAGAAGCTTTCTGTTGAAGGGGCAAGACACAATGAATCACATCAGTTTTAAACGTTGCATGTAATTATGTTGAACTGTTGAACTACCAACCTTCCCACAAACAACAGGCAGTCGCTGAGCACTTTTGTGCCGGTGGTCTCTGCTTGACACGGTGAAGGGAACGTTGATCTGCAGATGGCCGACTTGGGGCGATGGGATCCACCGACCCGCCAATAAATCTGCTGCATTCACAGGTGGTCCCATGGGCCATCCGGATCCCCCAGAAAACTAGAAGCTGCGCCCTTAGGTTGATTTTGTCCTGGCTCAATACGTTCGGCCGCCGTCTGAGGAAACATCTGCATGGCTCCGGACTCTGTCAGCGGGTACCTTCTAGAGGAGGTCAGCCTAGCTGCCGACAACTTCGACGTGAAGGCCGGGCTCTCCAAAGATACAATTTAACTATCTCAAAGGATACCTTTCCACGAAGCCAACCAGGAACCACCATTTGGTTTGAAAATGTATAAAAGAAGAGTTTCCGAGTCTGTGCTTGAGCAATCGCTGCACCCAACCAGGGTTGGGCGATTCAACCCTTGTTTTCACATGTTTCACCACCATGATTTAGATGATTTCAGCTATACAAAACCGTCGCTAAATGTTTAGACATGTCCCAACATGCGCAAAATGATACCTACCATATTTAAACATAGATCACCTTGCTACCACTATGTTTCAATGTTCAGCATGGTACCTACCATGATTAAGACATATGTCAACATGCTTCTTCCAGCCACCGCTCTTCAGCCTGTTGAAACCATGGTTCATTTAAGACTGACACCATGCTTCAACTTGCTTCAACATGCCAAAAACCATTGAGGTGTCGCTCTTTTTTTGTCGGGCTCCCCCCCCAAACCCAAAGAATGCGAGTTTTCCTGTTGGTTTTTCCCTTTAAGGACCAACCCAAACACGGGTTTTCGCGCAAAAAAAAAGAAAGAAAACGACCCACGCCTGCCCACCCCATCTGGGGGGTGTCTCACTCGCCCAGGCCAGCTGCGCCAAAGGCTTCTCGGGCTCGGCGAAGGTCGCGGCGTGCAGCAAGCAAGATGGGCGTGCCTCGGCGGGTGCAGAGGTTTTGCTGGGTGAGTGGTTTAGTGGTTAGTTGGGTTTAGTGGTTTAGTTGGATTTTGTTAGGTAGTGGCACACTGGCTGACAATCATCGATCCAAGAACATGACACGCGAACCTTCCAAAGCAAATGCTGCAAGGGCCTAAATTACAGGATGGGGACGTGAGGGGCCTTCCCACAGGGAGCCCAGCAGAAGGTCCCTTCAAGAAGGAAACTGGTCCAGCTTAGCCTAGGGCACTTGCGTAGATCCGGGAGTGTCTTCCAAAAGGTAAGGCAAAAAACAACAAGCCGAATTTCTTCCCAGGTTTTTCTCGCGCCACGTTCTTTCCCAAGCCAGCTGAGCGCCCCGAAGCCGACAGGCTACCAATTGAGCGGCTGCATCATGGCGGTGTGTACTGGCCCTGGAGTGAGGGGCTACGTCGTCACCGAGACCAAGCTCATGATGGGCGACTTTCAGGCCCAGACCTACTGGCCTCATGATTTTACCACTAGGTCCCCCAGCTTGGTGCCCTTTACCCTTTCTTTTTTGGTTGAGAGGGTTCTTCTACGAAAGTAGACAAAACTGAAGAAAGTTGGTACCAACAAAAATTCTAACCTCTTCAAATCTGGAGAACTTGGATGCTCAAAGTCACCCCCGTTCAGTGGTGGGTTAAGGGAAACAACCGATTCCATTTTCTGACTTTGATAGCCCCCCAAAAACCGTCAAAATAATGACCCCAGACCTAGGATCGATCCGGCCAAACCGGAACTGTTTCTTTTTGTGGCAACTGGAACGTGGTCTCTTTGAACGACCTAGGGGTACTCTGAACCCAGGGATCCTTCTACACCTCCGGAATCCCAGGGAAAGAGGCCGGAGATGGGACAGAACGATGGGTGAAAAGAATGGAAAAGGGATCAACCCCTAGAATTCTCAGTTGCCCAGTGGATTCCGCCCCTCTTTTTGCTCTTGTTGGGGGAAGGTTCCCCTTTAAAGCCAAAAAAAGAAAAAGAAAAAGATGCCCCTTTTTCCCGAGACCACCTGAATGCATCAGTTGAACTTCTTGGATACTGAGCGTCCTGAAGGCAAGGAGCTCGCACACCAGCCCCGGACTCTATGCTTCCAGTTCCAGGGAACGTTCAGCTCATGAGCTGCTTGTTTATGGGGCGTTTCCAATATCAGGGGCCTCCAAGAGATGATCAAAGCAGAAGTGATCAAAGCAGAAAGGTGTCCCTCCAGGGAAAATGGTCGAGTCTTTCGCTTGTGCTGGGCCAGAAAAGAGGCTTGCCAGAGGAGAAAATGGACCGCCAGAAGTATCAACACAAGGCTTTGGTTGTAACTTGATTGAGAAATGAGGCTCGTTCTTTTTTTCAGCCTGCTTCGACCCAGAAGCTGGGCCAACAGGTATCAACCACGCGGTAAAGTATGGGTTTTTTACTCGCTTGAGTGTCACACTTCTGTGATTTTCCAGAACCCTGGGCTTTCCACTGCAGAAGTTCCCCTCAAACATCCACCGGGGATCTGTTTTTTGTTGGGGGGGGTTTGCCTTGCGGCGTGGATGTAAAACCAACCAGCAACACACCCAGCCCACTTCTTCGAGTGTGGGATCAAGAACTTATCACGGGCCCTGGCTTTCTGGGCTTGCCAACGCTGGCGCCCAGTGAAAATGTGAACCGTGTTGATCTTCGACGGGAGACCGCTCAGCAGTTGGGAGTCGGTCTTGGGCGCGGAGTTATTTTTTGGGATTCTGTTTCTTTCGTTTTCTTTTCTTCTTCTTTTTTATCTTCTTTGTTTTTGTGTGGTTTTTCTTGGGGTCAGCCTCCATGTCTCAGCCCGGATCAGCCCTGCATCTCTCGCAGCCGGAATGGTCTGCCACAAATACCAACAAAAGGCCCAGGTAAAGTTTGCCAAGTGGCCGGCACATCTACCTGGAGTCTCCATGACCCTCTAAAAATGGGGTCAAAACCCAAAATGAAGGTATGACCCCCTTTTTCTAGGGGTCATGGAGACTCTGGGTACTTAACTGGCCAGCCAAAGGCCCAGCCCCAGGTAAAGTTCACCAAGTTGCCTTGGGCAAATCTACTTCACCTAGGTGCCCCAGTAGTCCCAGTAGTGCCCTTTTACCTTTTTTTGGGGGAGGGTGCCTAAGATAGACTAATTACAGAAGAAAAAGTCGGGTACCAACTTATTCTATCCTCTCAAATCTGGAGGACCCAGTCACTGGCCAGAAAAAGTCGGCCAACGATGTTCGGTTTTTCCCCAGACCTCGGCAGGTAACGGCCAGCTGCGCGCCCGCGTTCTCCGGCACCGCGGTGGTCACGGAGTGCACGGGGGCCCTGCAGCCCTACACCTTAAACGGCTGCACCGCGGCGCCCCTGTGCATGGCGCCCAAGAGCTTGCTGGGCTACCAGGCGATTTTGCGCTTTGTGTGTGTTTTTGGTCTCACAGTGGTTTAAAACAAACAAAAGGGGGAGCCTCATTTTTGGGTTTGGTGGGGGGGGGAGGTGCTTTGATGTTCCCCAAGAAATAAGTCCAACCAAAAAAGGACCCAAGCAAAACGCACGAGTCTCGCACGCGCATGCAATCAAGGTGAGCGTCTCGCACGCACATGTATCCTCTCCCAATCACCTGTAAAAATGATAAGGAAGAAGAAAAACCGATAAAGGTGTTGAGGGTCAATAAAGAAGGGTATGGGGTTTTATGACAACTGCAAGTGACTTGGCTGCGCGTGTGGTGGTTGCGTTTGTCGGCGGACCACTCACAACTTGCATGGGGCATGGGTTACCAATTTCAGAAAGGGGCAGATAGAGCAATGTGCCTGTGTGTGTGTAGCTATGCCAGTATTGCCATGTTTAAATTGATAGACGTGTAAGGCTCAGATGTAGAAGGTCGGTTGGTTGCTAGGAGATTATTGTTGACCTGATTAAGCAACCCCATTTTATCAATATGGGGGCGTTCCCCTCCGAAAGTGATGATTCCCCACTAAACCTAGGGACTCCCCCCCGTGTTAATAAACCGGGGCTGATTAATATGGTTTAGCTGAATCCACGAGGTTGTAAAGTACAATGTGAAAAGTTCCTTTGCAAGTACCCTCCGAGTACTTTGTGCAAGAATTGCGTGCACGTGTTCGAGTGGACTGTGCGAGTGTGCGGGTAGAACGGGCGAGTGAGCGGACGAGGTGACTCGAACACTCGCGCGCCCTACTCCCTCACTTTCACACACAGAAATGAGGTCGCACAGAAATAAGGTTTTTGTTTAAACCTTTTATCCGGGCACGAATACTACTTTCAATTGCGGGTCAAAAGTAAGGTCTAAAAAAAAAGAAAAGAAGAACACGTGCAAGTGACAGGTGCGCGTAGGGCGCGCGAGTGTTCGAGTGCCTTGTCCACTCGTCCGCTCGCTCGCCCGTTCCACTCGCACACTCGCACGCCCTACTCGTACACTCCACCTGCGCACTCATCAACTTGTACACGTTTTGGCAAGTGTGCCTAAAAATCCCTGTTTACAACCTCTTGGCATCAACTAAAATATGGTGTCAACATTCGGGGAGGGACGAGTGAAGGGGCTTAATCAAGCGGTTGCCTTGGCCTTCAAATGAAGCCAGGTCCTGGAGACGCAGCTGCTGCGCGCGAACTTCGAAGTGACGGCTACTTGCGCAGACAATTACGTGGGCACCGCGTCAGTGACCGAGTGCGTGGAAGATTTGGGCGTTTACACGCTGTCTGGCTGTGAAGAGAAGATTACCTGCGCGTCGCCTGACTCCACAGATGGCTACGATGTCACGGAGAAGAACAAGGTGGCCCAGGAGTTTGACGTGGCGGTGCAATGTGCTCGTGGCTATGAGGGTACCGCTGTGGTCACCAAGTGCTCCCAGACTGGCGAGAAGTACCAGTTGAGTGGCTGCAAATACAGCACCACAACCTGCCTAGCACCCGCCTCAACCCAGGGCTACGTTGTGACGGAAGTGGAGCTGAGACGTGTGGTGTTTGAGGTGAAAGCGGCATGCGCGCCGGGTTATCAAGGCACCGCAGTGACGGCCACATGTGATAACCACTTGGGCGAGTATGTCCTGGCAGGATGCACTGCTGCGCCTATTTGCCTCTCGCCAACGGACGTGGCTGGCTACAAGGTGACAGAGACTTCCGTAGCAAAAGCCGCTTTCAGCGTAGCCGCAGCCTGTGCAGACACGCACACAGGCACCGCGCAGGCCACTGTTTGTACAGAGTCGCTGACGTCCTACACGCTGTCTGGCTGTGAAGAGAAGATTACCTGCGCGTCGCCTGACTCCTTGGTTGGCTATGATGTCACGGAGAAGAACAAGGTCGCCCAGGAGTTTGATGTGGCGGTGCAATGTGCTCGCGGGTATGAGGGTACCGCTGTGGTCACCAAGTGCTCCCAGACTGGCGAGAAGTACCAGTTGAGTGGCTGCAAATACAGCACCTCAACATGTGTTCGACCTTCCTCAACGAAGGGCTACGTGTTGAAGGAAGTGGAGCTGAGACGTTTGGTGTTTGAGGCCTGGGTATGGGGCAAACCACCGTTCTGAATAGCTTGCCGTCTCTAAGATGCTGGTGGTAGGACGCCCCGGGTTTACGTCTCATAATATGTCTCGCAAAGAGAAGACAAATACAAGGGCATCAGTGCTTTGGTGGGCCCCTATTGGTTTTGGAGTTAAAGATTTTGTTCAGCAAATGTGCGAGAATCCGGAGATTTGGGAAGACTCGCATTTGAGCTGAATGCTAAGTAGGTTTTTGTTGACAAATGTGACAGTGTTCTGAAAGGACACCGCAACCGGGAGCAAATTTTAGAGGCAGCTCCTGTTGGGTGCACGTGAATCTGCAGAATTCCAAGAACTATTTGTCCCCTAACCCGCGAGGTGAATGCGGCATGCGCGCCGGGTTATCAAGGCACCGCAGTGACGGCCACGTGTGATAGACACTTGGGCCAGTATGTTCTGGAAGGATGCACTGCTGCGCCTATTTGCCTCTCGCCAACAGACGTGGCTGGCTACAAGGTGACAGAGACTTCCATAGCGAAAGCCACATTCAGCGTGGCTACAACCTGCGCAGACACGCACACAGGCACCGCGCAGGCCGCTGTTTGTGCAGAGTCGCTGACGGCCTACACGCTGTCTGGCTGTGAAGAGAAGATTACCTGCGCGTCGCCCGACTCCTTGGTTGGCTACGATGTCACGGAGAAGAACAAGGTCGCCCAGGAGTTTGATGTGGCGGTGCAATGTGCTCGCGGGTATGAGGGTACCGCTGTGGTCACCAAGTGCTCCCAGACTGGCGAGAAGTACCAGTTGAGTGGCTGCAAATACAGCACCTCAACATGTGTTCGACCTTCCTCAACGAAGGGCTACGTGTTGAAGGAAGTGGAGCTGAGACGTTTGGTGTTTGAGGCCTGGGTATGGGGCAAACCACCGTTCTGAATAGCTTGCCGTCTCTAAGATGCTGGTGGTAGGACGCCCCGGGTTTACGTCTCATAATATGTCTCGCAAAGAGAAGACAAATACAAGGGCATCAGTGCTTTGGCGGGCCTCTATTGGTTTTGGAGTTAAAGATCTTGTTCAGCAAATGTGCGAGAATCCGGAGATTTGGGAAGACTCGCATTTTTCGCCAAGCCTACTCGCAACCAAGAGAAAAATTTAGAGGCAGCTCCTGTTGGGTGCACGTTAATCTGCAGAATTCCAAGAACTATTTGTCCCCTAGCCTTCGAGGTGAATGCGGCATGCGCGCCGGGTTATCAAGGCACCGCAGTGACGGCCACATGTGATAGACACTTGGGCCAGTATGTCCTGGAAGGATGCACTGCTGCGCCTATTTGCCTGTCGCCAACGGACGTGGCTGGCTACAAGGTGACAGAGACTTCCATAGCGAAAGCCACGTTCAGCGTGGCTACAACCTGCGCAGACACGCACACAGGCACCGCGCAGGCCGCTGTTTGTGCAGAGTCGCTGACGGCCTACACGCTGTCTGGCTGTGAAGAGAAGATTACCTGCGCGTCGCCCGACTCCTTGGTTGGCTACGATGTCACGGAGAAGAACAAGGTCGCCCAGGAGTTTGACGTGGCGGTGCAATGTGCTCGCGGGTATGAGGGTACCGCTGTGGTCACCAAGTGCTCCCAGACTGGCGAGAAGTACCAGTTGAGTGGCTGCAAATACAGCACCTCAACATGTGTTCCACCTTCCTCAACGAAGGGCTATAAGCTCACCGAAGTGGAGGTGCGTCGCATTGTCTTCGACGTAGAGGCTGCATGTGCACCTGGCTATACTGGCACGGCAGTTGTCACAAGATGTGACAAGGCTCCTTGTTTAGAATTGAGTTGCCACCTGCCGAGCTTCCATTTGGTGAAGAGTTTGTATAAGTTTCCCTTGCTTTTAAAGGGAATCTATCACTACTGGCTTCTTCTTTTTTTCCAGAGGGCTTAAGCAAATGGAAGTGGAAGGACCTCCCCCTTTTTGGTGTGAGCAACACGGGGCACTTCACGCGGGCTCGAGGATCGGGGCGAGTACTCCTTGAGCGGCTGCGAAGCCTCGCAAATCTGCGGCTCCCCCACGAGTCTGGCAGGCGTGGGCGCCGAAAAACAGGTTGACACATCAGACCAAAACTTGATCCTAGGTCCCCCAATATTGCCTTTTTCCAATTTTTTCGGAGGTTTTGGGGCTTTTTTGGGCAGTGGCTTTGGCTTGGGGGAGGGAGTTGCAGCTAGGTGCCCTTCTCTACCCCTTTCTTGGTTGGGAGGGTTCAACCCTACTAAAAATAGACAAAACCGAAAAAAGTTGGTGCTCTTATTGAAGCCTCTCTGGAGGACCGAGTCAAGTCCCAGTGTATCAAAAATCAAGATGCTTGCTGGTGCTCAATGACCTTCCAGGTTTTGGGGAATCCCTTGGGATTCCCTGAAAGGAAGGATTTCCCTCGAGCCTCATTCCCCGCTGCCATTTGCTGAAAAAATATTGGTGTGTTTTCCGCGGTTGGTCAAAAAAAGAGAACTTGTTTTTTTGGGGGGAGCAGAAAACGCAAATGGAAGTTATCAAAGCCAAGAGTCCAAGAGGTGCAAGAGTTTGTCCAATCGTCGGAGATGGTTGTTTCATGTTTAGCCCCTGCTCAGTGAGGAGGCTTAGAGCGGGCCCATGCATTTCCCATTTACTATCCAGGCTTGCCCCAGGACGAAAAAGGCAAGCCTGGATAGTAAATGGGAAATGCATGGGCCCGGGGGGGGGGGGGGTCAGCTGGACAAAACACTGAAAGGAGGTCGGTTTGACCGGGTCCCTTCGTGGTTGTTGGGATTTGTTTTTTTTGTTACATGGTTGCTTATTGTGGTTTAGTGCTTGAAATCCAACCACTCAACTGTTTTTTTCTTTGCTTCCCTTCCAACGTCAACCGAGCCTCGGTCATCCCAGATTAAATAAACTGGCTTGATACATCCTAGGGGAACTGTTTTAATCTCAGGTAGAACCGGTCCCTGGTGGTTCTGCTCCATTTCACCAGCAAACCACCAATTGGAGGGAAGCCCTGTATTGATCCATTCTTCAAACGTGGGGGTTCAGGGTTGTGGCATCCCTCGGGGTTTCTCCCCACTTTTTTCAAGAATCCCCCTCTCAGGGGGAAAGATGTCAAAACGGGTTCGGCCCTGCAAAAGTGGATATCCCCACTTTTTTTTCAGGAATTCAGGACTCCCCCCCTTTTTCGGGGGGAAGACGTCTTTGGGGTTCGGCCATTCAGCCCTTTTTGTAGTGGATTCCATGTAATCCGCCCCTTGACAGGGGGGAAGATGTCTTCATGTCACGGCTCAACCATTGTTCTTGTGAAACATTTGACATTTTTGCTTAGTGTGGAATTGAGTGGTTGAAATCCAAATCCACTGAACTGCTATTTTTTTTGTTTGCTCCCCTTTCAACGTCAACGTCAACGGGTTCAACCGTGGATGGCGCGCCACAGGCTACACGGTGACAGAGCTGGACCTCCGGCGGGGCACCTTCTCCGTGACCGCGGCCTGCGCCACGGGATACAGCGGCCAGGCCCGGCTGCGCGAGCGCACCGATCCGGGGCTAGAACGAGCTCGCGCGGTAAAAGTGCTGTACTTGAAAAAAGAAAAACCTTCTGAATTCAGCTTTTGGACATAAACGATGCGAATAGATGCTCTCAACACAGGAATCGGTCCCCAGTGGTTGATTTCCGCTTGGCGTCCCCTTAAACATTACCCAGGAGACTCTGGAAGCGACTTGGGGTACCCTCATGGCTTCCCTAGCCAAAATCCATTCAGCTCATTCTCATGAAAGCTTGTGAATTGGACAGGAATGATCTTGAGTTGATTTGAAGTCGCTGGACACAGCGCAACCTGAAAAATGAGTCCGGCACGTCCTGGCATAATCACTCCTTTTTGGAGTTGTTGCGGGCTCATGCATGTTTGTATTATTTGTCGTTTTTTTTTTCTCCTTTTTTCGGGTTCGGTTATCCTACTCCTTTGCAGTTGCACAGACCCAACTAAGAAGGTCATAGCCTCCCCCCACCATTGTCTCCCATGACCCTGGTGCTTCCTCGTGCCTGGCTACAACCCCCAAATGGTCGTGCCTTTTTCCCCACTAACACGGTGGGCTTCTGGATTTCCCTCTAAACCCACCAAAAAGGGGTCAAAAACCTAAGTTGTTTGAGCATCCCAGGCGACCGTCACCGCATGTGCGGCGGGCCTCGAAGCCTACACCCTCTCGGGCTGCACGGCTCGCTGAGATTTCTCAAGCGGAGGAACAAGTCTTGGAGCGAACAGCTGGCTTGGTTCCCTGACCCTGGGAGATGAAACGAGCCTGATTTGTTCAAAGGGGGAGATAAAAACGATACTGTTGAAAGGGAGCTTCAGTGAAGAGCGAGCTCATAATAATATATAAATATCTTAAATATTAAATATATATAATGTTGTATTATTAAAATTCAATAATATTTATAATAATTAAAATTAAATTAATTACCAAAAAAATAAATTAGGCATTAAAACATTATTTTAATATATTAAAATAATAAAACAATATAAATAATTATATATATTTTTTTAAATATAATAATATAATTAAAATATTTAATTAATAAATATAATAAATATAATTTTAATAACTTAAAATGATAAATCCTAAAAACACATTATTCTGGTATGAGATCTTAAATAGTGATAGGCGGCGATTACATGTTGTAGAGTATTGTGCGGGTTGTGCCGTAAAACGATGATTGTTGTTAGGAAATTGTAACATTATTTTGCGGTATTTGTGTATATATTTACAAAGATAAGGATATGGCTTGGAATAGACATGTATAAAAGAATGTAGTAGATACGTGTCGAAGCATTTGTGCGTATATGTGTATGTATATATAGGTGTTTTTAAGTATTATTATAAAAGGCAAGATTTGTGTGTTTGTTTTACTAGAATGTTTGAATTAGTGAGTTAGTTAGGTAGTTTTTTTTTTTATTCTCGATTATGGTATTGTTGTTGTTATTGTTGTTGTTTTTGGGTATTGTTGTTTAGAATATTATCGAGATATTGTTGTAGTATAGAAATACCATCTAAGCATGTCTAAAGAAAGGGAAACAAGCTCGCATGGATAGGATGGGAATCGAGCCCGGGACTTTTTGCCGGAAATCCGTGTTGCCGGATTACGAGACAAAACCCTTATGGTCTTCGGAGTCGTTAAAAAACAAATACGAGGTTGTATAGATATTAAGCAAGCGTAAGAATCTGCGGTAGACACCATACGAAATGCTTGTGGATAGAAGTCGCCATACGAGCCTGCGTAATCGAAACGCATTTTAATATTAAGCAAAAGCACGAATCTGCGGTAAATACCATGCAAAACGCTCGCGGCCAGAAGTCACCAACTCTTTGTAAATAAAAACACGAATCTGCGGTAAATACCATGCAAAACGCTCGCGGCCAGAGCGAACACCTCAATCTAACACAAAGGCCTTTTCTCTTACCATAAAAATCCCTTAATATAAACATATTGTTTAAAACATAATTCAATTTCCGATTAAATATAATAAAATTACAAAAAATCATTATTTATAAAAATTAATAAACTAATACTAACACAATAATAATTATAAAACAACAATAATTATCATATTTTTTGTAAAAATATATTATTAAATCATATATATTTTATATATATTATGTTTTTCTAGTTTAATATTATATATTTGGCAATAATAAATATATAAAATAATATATAATATTATTGTTTTAATTCAATATATTTTTACATTATTTAAAATAATAATAAAATATTATTAATAAATATATTTAAGAATATATATATATGTTTAGGATTAGGATTAGTTTTATTTATAATTTATTTTTAAATATATATATAAAATATAATATATATATGTTTATTTATGGTTTAATATTGTTATATTTAATTAGAATTATAATTTTAATAAAATAATAAAATAATTCCATTTAAAAAAAACAAAATCTAATTAAATAAATCATTTTTAAAATGTCCTCCCATCCCCCACCCAAATTATATTAATTTTCATAATAACAATAAATAATTCAAATAATAATAATAAAAATAAAACACATTATTATTTATATTTCATTTATCATCAATTAAAGATATTATTAAAACATATTCTATAATAACAATCTTTTAATAAATAAGGATAATAAATTCAAATAATAATGTATTTTATTTAGATTGAATTTATAATGTAAAACATATCCAGTCTTTCATTTGACTTTGATGGATAATTACCCGGTCGCTCATTTAACCCCTCGAATATCCCAGAATCTTAGTTATACCCAAATAGCGCAATGCCAATTGAATTTTAAAAAAACAAACAAAAAACTCTGCCAGCTCGCCTGTTCCGCAGGCACTGTACTTGTGATTTCGATATTTCCTCCGGCTGGCCGAAAACAGTTCGGTCAGAAGAAGAGGACACCTCGCTTGCGCATAGGTTTTTTTCCTTGGGCCCGTCTCTTGGCTTGGCTGCAAAACAGCTGTCAACCCCAAGACTCGGACCCGTCCACAAGCTGTTTCTTATGAGTCGCTTCTTGTTGATTTTACAGGGGTGTGTTTGAGGAACAAGGTCCAAAGCGGGCGTTGTTAGTTCCAAGGAGCAATTAGTGCATTGTGTGTACAACGATGTGTACCTTTTAAGAAGACACGTGTTGTACATTTCCTGCCTTCTCTGCTTGTATGGGTTCTTCTTTTGATAACTAGGTGGTTGAGCCGCTCGGGTCTAAGGCGCAAGCCACGTGCGCAGAGGAGTCCAGGAAGGACGTACCTGGAAAATTCGGCTTCGAACGAAGAACCACGCGAGAACGCGACGTTCGCTGAGTGGGAGCCTCTCCGCGGATCCGGATGCGTTATACACCTGAACATTGCCTTGTAAATGGTGGTTTCCCTTGATTTTTGTGGAAAACCCCATGTTTCAAATGGGCAAACTGTATCTTTCAAGGAGCCCTGCGATACGAAAAGTTCTGAGCAACACAAATCAAAGATCGAGCCCCCAAAGCCCCAAAGTCCACCTGAGAAACCCCAGGAGTCCTACCATTCTGCGGACAAGCCCTTTGTGGCAATGCCAAAATCCACGGTCTCAGACTGATTCTCTTCAAAGGAACACGGAAGAAACTTCCACGCTAAGGACACTAATTGCAGGTAGTCTTGTACACAGATAGGATACTGTGCGACAGCATGCATGCGCGTGGCAGGGAAATAGAAATCGCGAAAACAAATGGCATGTGCGAGTTTTGGCATCTCCTGGACGGCCGACGGGTACGGAACAGTCTCGTGCTTGCAAGCACGCGTGCGCTTTTCGCAACGTGAGTGTTGCGCGACACGCGCCGCACTTCGGCGAACTGAGCGTGGCAAGCGCAGCGTTTTGTTGGGTCGGCGATCAGATTGCGTGGCGGGGGAGCCACTTTGGCACAGCACTTTTTACAGACTCAGGCGGATTGTGTCGGCAATGCTTAGCACGGGCGTGTCGCAAATCCGATTGGCACGGACGTGCAAACTCGCGGCAGGTGCAGCACCATCGCAAGGACAGATTTCGTGGCAGGCGCAACTCTTGGGGAGCTGAAAAATAGTTATGTTGAGAGTTAGATGGGAGGATGGCTAGATCTCGATGGATAGACGGATCGATGATTTCTAGACATGGATGGAGGATGATGGACGGATAGATAGACAAACAGATAGACAGATAGATACACTGATAGATAGACAGATAGATAGATGGATGGATACGCAGATAGATAGATCTCAGAAATAGGTAGATATACAGCTGGATAGATAGATAGATAGATAGATAGATAGATAGATAGATCGATAGATAGATAGATAGACAAATAGATGGATGACAGATAGATGGATAGGTTAGGTTAAGTTAGGTTGGGTTAGGTTAGGTTAGGTTTGGTTAGGTTAGGCTAGGTAGATAGACAGATAGATGGATAGATAGATAGATCGCTAGAGAGAGAGAGAGAGAGAGAGAGAGAGAGAGAGAGGGAGAGAGAGACGGAGAGAGAGAGAGAGAGAGAAAGAGAGGGAGAGAGAGAGAGAGAGAGAGAGCGAGAGAGAAAGAGAGAGAGAGAGGGAAGAGAGACTGACGTAGCTATCATTGGACTAGATTAGATTAGATAGATAAGATAGATATATAATTAGGATAGATATGATCTACGCGAATCATTTTCTCCTCAGACAGGCATTCAGAAAAGAACGGCAGGAGAAAGAGAAAAGAAACGAGAAGAGAGGGCAAAGAAGAGAAGGACATGAAGAGAGGAACAAGAGAAACATAAAGCAAGTGAGAGCAGAGAAAAAGAGAGAGAAGAGAGAGAGAGAGAGAGAGAAAGAGAAAACTTTGGATTGGTGGTTTGGGGATTTGAACCCCTTGTAGAGGGCGAATGGGAAACCATCCCCGAACTTCCAAACCACCAAATCACCAATTGGAAAGCTGAAAACTAGAAGAGACAACAACCCTTCCTCCAACTAACATGGCACCTGTGGGGAGGTACCTGAAAGATTAGACTCCTTTTCAAGTGACCCCCTGCCAGAAACTTTCGACACTTCCAAGCGACTTCACCGAGTTCGGCCGTCTCGACAGCCCCCCTCTGAAGGCACTTCCCTCGTGGATCTTGACCCGCATTTCGCGGGAGTCCTGTCGACGTGGACAATCGCGGCTCAGCGTTCTGACATGGCTGTGGCTCAAAACAACGGAACCAAAATGGAAGCCTGGTGAGTGGAAACATGGACCAAAACCTGTGTAACCCCTCCTGTTTAATTCTGAGCCACACCCACATGGGTTGGTCTTTTTTGGGGGACCCACACACAGAAAGGGACCTCCTGGGAGATTGTGTTTTCTACAAAGCGGTGTTTCTTAGTGCTTCTCAGTGTTCTCGTTTTTTCTCATTGGGAGGTCGCACTATCCACACAAATTGGTGGTTGTCCTGTTGGTTTCCCCGAAAGACACAAAACAAAACCATGGCACCCTCAAAAAAAGGAACACGGCCGAATGGCTGCAAGTCCGGGAAAGACAAACAAAAACGCATCAGGTTTAGAGTTCATCTCCTTGGTTGAAAGTTTCCGGGACACCTACCCTATGAGAAGAATCGTCCAAACCGCAAACGAGTTGGGTGTCTGCTCAGTTTTGATCTTGGCATGCCTGCAAATTGGTGTGTCAAACTGCAAGATACATGGTTGTGGTTGTCCTTTTGATTCTCTTCACTTCGAAATCTGACAAGGGTACCCTCAAAAAGCATATTTCCCCTTGTCATTGCGCTCCAGCCTTGTTGGACTCTTGCGGATTGGCAAGAAAGCAGCCGTTCAGCATCCGCACTGCCTCTTGGCGCGAGGGGCA